GGGAAGGAAGGCGGGTCTGCGGGGACGGCCCGCGCCTCCGGGCCGTGGAGCCCCGGGATCAGGCCGCGCCGCGGTCTCGGGTGGGCCCTGGGGCACTGCTGGGCTCCTGCCGAGTTTCAGTCGCTCCGCGTGCCCTGTGTCCTCCCCCGTAAAGTGGGAGTAAAAACGTGCTCCCCGGGGCTCTCGGAGGTCGAGGGCGTTGGTCGGAAGTTGGTAGGAGGGTCAGCCCGGAGCCTCTGCGCGCCTCCCCTGCGGCTGGGAGAGGCGGCGGTGGCGCTAGTACGCGGCTCGTAGGCGGTTGTGCCGCAGTTATCGTTGAGGGTAGTCGTTCAGCACGTGAGGGGGGTAGATGAAGCAGGCGTGGGGTTCAGAGCAAGTCACCCCAAGAGGTGCCTCTGGTGTGCGGATTGTTTGAGCTAAGGGCAGTTTTAGCTTCAGGCCCAAGGTAAACTTCTGCCTCCTCCCTTTACTTAGAACTTTAGTCCGGGGTCTTGCCCATAACAAGAGATTATCATCCGTAATCTCTTTTGGACCCACTTATATGGCCGCCTAACTTTTATTTACTAAACATCTATTCTAAACCTGCTATGACCCTTTGAAGCCCCCAGGGTGTTTATTACCTCACCCCTAGCTCAGGATGTCATACCTAGATCCCCCCTTCTCTCTCTCAACCTCTCCTGCATGTGGGGTTCCCCTACATGTGCATATATTAAATTCAGTTATTTTCTGTAGCTCATCTGCCTCATGTCTATTTGATTATTAGACCAGCCCGAAGATCCTTGAGGGTAGAGGAGAGTTCCTCCCCGATAAGCCTAAGAGGCTTTGTGGGAGGAATCAGTAACACTCCATCCTTCCTGTGCCTCCCTATGTACTTAAATGCATTATGCATAAGAATTCTTTAGATACTTATGTTCTCATTGTATATTTTTTATTTTTTCTACCAAGGATAATATAGCTACCATGTCTTCTGGCGCTTTGACAAAACCTCAGATGCGAGGCCTTCTGGCCAAGCGTCTGAGATTTCACATCGTTGGAGCCGTAATTGTATCCCTGGGAGTTGCAGCTTCCTATAAAGTATGTATATTTGGTTTCTTACTTTGTGCTTGTGGTCCCAAATGTATTTTAAATTTAAAAATGTATTTTATCTTCATAAGCAATTTAGAGTCTTAAACTCTCTTTAATGTGCTTCCTTCTGTTATAGTAAGAAGCTAGGAAGATTCTAGGGTAATCAGAATAGGGAAATGAAGATAAACAGTAGTTTGTGGCCACCAAGTAAGTCCTACCTTCCCTAAGCCAAGGACGTAGAAGGGTAAATGCTTTGCATTTCTCCTCCCCAGCCAGAGGGTAAATAGCTTAAATCACACTGCTCAGGGAGTCAGGTAACGGAAATCCAATTAGGGCCATTTGCCAACCACACCCAAGGACAGACAATTAAGAGAAAGATCTTATTTTGGTATATCTGCATAAAGCTAATGGATTATCCTATTGATCTGCCCCTAAGACCTCCCCTAAATGCCCAGCCTTTAAAACCCCTGAAAATGAAGGTGCCAGTGTGCTCTCCCCACCATCCCAGGAGAGCATGCCAGGGCCATTTCCTCCCCTTTGAGGGGATCTCACCAGACTTGTGACCACGGGGGCAATGGGCAGTAGCAGCTCGTCCCATGCTTATCCCCTGAACCTATCTCCAAGGCCCCCTTCTCTCTCTCTGACTTCTCAGTGAGCCTAAGCAGCCCAGTTGAGACTCTTCAATGTGCTGGCTGAGGCTCTGACCACTGAGCAACACCGGCCAGGGCAAACAACAGAAGTTTTATTTTCTGTTCTGGAAGCTAGAAATCCAAGGTGGATTTGCCTCTTCTTTCTATGAGAGTATGGAAAGGGCCCATGTGATAAGTTACCTTGCTGGTGCTTGACCAGGACATTCTAAACTGGTTAATTAGGATTGTTTCTGGCCCTGGCTGGTGGCTCAGTTGGTTGGAATATCATCCGGTACACCAAAAAGCTTCAGGTTTGATTCCTGGTCAGGGCACATACCTAGGTTGGGGGTTCAATCCCCAGTCAGGGCGCATTTCGGAAGCAACCTATTGATGTTTCTCTCACATTGATGTTTCTCTGAAGTCAAGGAACATATCCTCTGGTGAGGATTTTTAAAAAAAGTTTCCAGAAAAGGTTGAAACAGCAATTAGGTCAGGTCTTATATCTAGGTTTGGTATCCTGGGCTTTAGCACAAGTGCCTTTTGTGCCCATGGCTTTCCTTTTTGACAGCACTTTTAAGAATTGTTGCCACAGGAGAAAAAGAATTGTTGCAGGAGAATTTCATTTTAACACTTTGCCTTGTATAGATTTTAACCTGCCTTTCTATAAATAAAATTTGTGTGGCAAAATGCACATAATATAATTTAACCATTTTTAAGTGTATGGTTCAGTGGTATTAAATACATTCAAAATGTGTAATCTTAGATTTCTGGATATCTTCCTTTGGCTCCTGCCAGTCTACCATCCTCCTCCAGCCAACACAGATACCCAGCAAGGAATTATACCTCCCTAGGCAGTGAGGGCCCTTCTTGCCCTGAGGCTTCTTTCCCTTTCCTTGCATCTGTGTGAATGCCCCGATCCTTTGTCTTAGGGAATACAGTGGTTAAGTTAGAGGTGAACACAAACGTATTGTGATTTATGTTGTCTTTAGATAATAAATTTTAATAATCTAAAAAATAAGCCATAATGGGATGTGCTATTTTATAGTTTGGTGTGGCTGAACCAAGAAAGAAGGCATACTCAGATTTCTACAGAAATTATGATTCCATGAAAGATTTTGAGGAGATGAGGAAGGCTGGTATCTTTCAGAGTGCAAAGTGATCTTGGAATGTAAAGGTAATATGAAGTTACTGTTTAAAAACTTCTTAAAATTGTGGTACAATACAAATAAACCTTAATCTTAACTATTTTTAAATGTATAGTTCAGTATTGTTAAGCACATTCACATTGTTGTACAACCAATCTATAGAACTCATGTTGCAAAACTGAAACTCTACCCATTTAAACAACTCTCCATTCCCTCCCATTCCTGGCAACCACCATTTACATCATACAATATTTGTCGTTTTGTGACTGACTTATTTCACTTAATGTAATGTCCTCAAGGTTCATCTGTTACAGTATGTGTCCGAATTTCCTTTTTAAGGCTAAATATTCTATTTTATGTATATACCATATTTGTTCACTTATCCAACAGACACTTGGATTGCTTCTGTTTTTTTGATTTACTTTGAATAATGCTGGTATGATGTTTATAAATAATCTCTTTGAGACCCTGCTTTCAATATTTTTGAGTAAACACCCAGAAGCAGAGTTGCTGGATCATGCAGTAGTACTATTTTTAATTTTTTAAGGATCTGGGATACTATTTTACATAGTGGTTGGGCCATTTTATGCTCTAGCAATAGTGTAAAAAGGGTTCCCATTTCTCCACATCCTCAGCAAACTTGTTTTCTGTTTAATGATGTTGAGCATCATTTATCATGCTTGTTGGCCATTTGTGTATGTTCTTTGGGGAGATGTCTGTTCAAGTCCTTTGCCTGTTTTTAATCTGTCTCGTATACTTACTTTAATTTGGAACTCCCATTGCAGGCCTAGTAGTAATGAACTCCATATCCTTTCGCTTTTCTTTAGCTGGGAATGCCTTTAATTTCTTCCTCATTTTGAAGGACAGTTTTCCTGGATATAGTATTCTTCTTTGACAGTGTTTTTAAAATATTTTATCCAACAGCCTTCTGATCTGCAAGGTTCATGCTGAGAAATCCATTGATAGTCTTACAGAGGCTCTGTTGTAGGTTGTGAATCGATTTTTCACTTGCTGCTTTCAAGATTCATTGTTTTTGGTTTTTGACAGTTTGATTATGTGTCTTGGTGTGGATCTCTTTGGGTTCATCCTACTTCAGGTAACTTCTTATATTTGTATATCCATTTCTTCAAATTTGGGGAGTTTGGGCTATTGTTTTTTCAAGTAAGTTCTCTGCCCCTTCTCTGCTGCTGGGCTTCCGTAATGCATGTGTTGGTCTTCTGGTGTGTCCCATAAGTTCTTTAAGCTCTGATTTACTTTTCCTTTTAATTCTTAGACCCAGTTGTTGAAATTAACCGTTTTCAGGTTTGCTGAATCTTTTTGTTTGTTGAACCCCTCTAGTGAATTTACTAATTCAGTTACTGTATTTTCCTGTAGAATTTTGTTTTTTTATAAAAGGTTTTTCTTTGTTGATATTCTAATTTTGTTCATGTATGGTTTTCCTGGTTTTGTTTAGTTGTCTGAGTTCTTCAGCTCGTTGAGCATATTTAAGACAGTTGTTTTTGCCCGGCCGGGCGTGGCTCAGCTGTTGAGCCTCGACCTAGGATCCAGGCGGTCAGGGTTCGATTCCCGGTCAGGGCACATGCCCGGGTTCTGGGCTCGATCAATGACTCTCTCATCATTGATGTTTCTGTCTCTCTCTCCCCCTCTCCTTTCCTCTCTCTGAAATCAATAAAGATATATTTTAAAAAAAAAAAGACAGTTGTTTTAAAGCCTTTGTCAAGTAAATCAGAGGCATGTGCTTTTTTTCAGTGTCTGTTTCTGGAGATTGATTTTGTTCCTCTGAATGGGTCATGTTTCTCTCTTTATGTCTTGTGATCTTTTGTTGAAATTTAGGCATTTGATTAAACAGCCACCTCTCTCATTGTTTTCAGACTTGCTTCATGCAGGAGGTCTTAACAGCCTGGCATAAACCTTAGGGTCCTGTCAGACTTTTTCTGGGGACATGTTTTACCTTAGCCTTTGCTGGTGCTTTTTGTTCTAGTTCCCGCGTATACTCAGTTGCTTTTAAGAGTCTCACCCCTAACTAGCCTTAGCTGTTCTTTTGTATTCCTCATTGTTGCCCATGAGTCTGCAGTCCCTCTGCAGATCTTGGGTCCTGAGACCCATCACTGCTTTCAGCAGCTTTCAGGCTGATATCTAGACAATGTCACCATTCCCTTCAGAGTTCTGAGATAAGCTAGAAAACAGTCCCTAAAACAAGCCAAAATGTTACAAGCAAGTTCCTCTCCTGTCCTGGGGGAGAAGCCAGGAATTGGCTAGGTTCCTCCTGACCACATTGCTGCACTGAGGAAAGGGGGAGGAAAACATTCATGAAATTTTCTTCTGTTTTCAGAGGCTTTTTCTTGTGTACGTGTTTGCTCGATTGCAGCAGCTTCATAACTGATTTCTCGAGTTCTCATAAAGACACATTGGTCCTTAATATTGGTGCTTTTTCTGTGGGGGTGGGAGTCTGGAACTTCATAGCCCACCATCTTGCTGACTTAGGTTCAAAATTATTTCACGTTATGCTATTGCTAAATTGGCATTAGGAAAATCACACTTTTTGAAGTGCTTTAAAAAAAAGTTTTTGACACCTTTTGTTAGTTGGGTGTGTGTAAGTGACTTGGTGGCTTCTCATAGGTTTTGGTTTGGTCTGTCATATCTACAAAGTGTTTATGCATAATGGACAGTGTGAATTAAGGTTTTAGATCTAAAAAGGACCAAAGGGATTGTGTGCTGATGAAAGGTCATCCACTAAATTGATGAGAAAGCATGTGTCAGGTACCTGATGAAACTATTCATACTCAGGAATCTTTATCATTCATGTATTGTTTACTTAAGATCAACAAAAAAGGAAGATTGAACAATATAAGTAGAGTTAAAGATTCTCTCCACCACTCCAGTGTGAGCTTGATGTGACAAGGGGAGTGTGAATGAATACTTTTTTCAGGCAGACTGTACCTGAATGAGCACTCCAAATGCCGTATGTGTATCTTTCCCAAGGTCTGGGGTTTGTTTGGAGGAGCCCTGCTACTTTGGGCTTAGATCACTTTTTTGAAAGACTCTCAAGGGTCATTTTGAAAAAGTAACTTTTGCCTAATGGAAGATTCAGTTCTGTAATCTGTTTCTATAGTTATTTATCTTGAGTATCTGAAATGCAGATAGATGCATGCACTAATTAGCCATAGAAATACTTAGAAAAAGTACAGAGAAAAAATAAAGAGAACTTTATTTTCAGTTGTTGGAAAATTGACGGGGAATTATGCCCTTTTCATACCTATTAGGTCCATTGGAAATGATAATTTCACAAAGTAACATGAAGAGATTATTAGGAATGTTAAGGACAATCTATGTTAAATTACATAAAAGATCACTGAAGGTATAAAGGTCAAGAAAATGGTGGTGGTTCTGTGTGGAACCTTAATCTTAATGTTGCTGTTTTCTTATAACTGAAATTTTCAGATTTTCCACAGTGGGTATGCATTTCATGGTTAGATGTTAACAGGATGACTTCAAATGTTATATTTTTACATTTTTTATGTGAGAAGTTACTTGTGTTTAAAAACAAGAAAGACTGATATGGGGACAGAAACAGAAATTAGAACAGGTGGGCTGCTGCTTTTAAGAAGAGTACATGGGTATGAGAAGGGAATTGGGGGCAGGGACTTAAGAGAAAAGCAAAGCAAAACAATTTGGAAAGTGAAAGCAAAAAGCCACAGTAAGGTGTGGCAATGCCCCACATAGAAAAGAAGCTGGTCAGGGAGCTTGGTGGAGAAAGGACCTTGAGCCCAGGTAGCCTGAACTGGGCTGCTCCAGGGCTAAAGGTGAGCGAGCAAAGTGTGGGCCACTAGTAGGAACAGACCTCAGGTGACCTCAGGGGTGGTGAGATATTGAGAGAACGCTTGTCATTAACTTAGCCACTGTGTTTTTCTCCGCAGAATTTCTTTAGGTTGAATTCCATGGAAGCTTGTCACTGGCCTGTGTTCCTGAACTATGAAACATGAATATTTGAGCTGAGGGATGTTTCTCTTGATAAATAAACAATTAAGAAATACTGTGGATAGTAAGTCTTTGTTCAGTTATTCTTAATGATGTAATTTGGGGCACTTGCATCAGAATTGGTTAGGGATTTTAACTGTTTATGAACCTTACTAAGGTAACTTAATTTCAGTATTAAAAATTTCATTATTTTAGCACATTTTTTATTACTCTGATGTTTTGCCCATTTTGTTGAGATATGTTGCCAAGTAGAGTTTCTTGGTCCTGGGTCATTGGGTCAAGGAGTCTGCATAAGCCGACATGACTGTTGTAATATGGGCTGTTAGAAGAGACAGGGACCATCTTTGCAATAAAATATGTCCTTGGACTTAATTACTGTTTGGTAGCCCTATTGGATCAACTATCAGACAGATGTAATAGATAATTGAAATTTAACGTTCCGTACTTAGTATTGTTTTATTAAAAAGCTAACAGTATGTACATGCAATTTGGAATCTATATTTAGTCCTGCTAGTCACTTAACTGAAATTGAGTAGTTCCTGCTAACGACTAACAGTGTGCTAAGTTTTCATAAGAGGTCTTAGGACCTTTCTCCCTTTACTTTGTGTGTGTGATAAAAGTGATACCATAGAGCTTTAAAAATCAAGTTTAGCCCTGGCCGTGGAGTGTTGTCCCATACACCGAAAGGGAGCAGGCTCAATTCCTGGTCAGGGCACACACACCCAGCTTGTGGGTTCCATCCCTGGTTGGGGTGCCATGTGGGAGGCAACCAATTGGTGTTTCTCCCCCTTCCTCTCTCTAAAATCAGTTTTAAAAAATTCAAGTTTATTTTATCCAAAACTAATTTACTCAATTGTTATTTTATAGCAAATTGTTGTGTTTTTATTAACTAAAATTTTTTTAAAAAAAAAAAATTGATTTTAGTGGAAGGGGGAGAGGGAGCGAGAGAGAGATCGCTTGGTTGTTCCACTTAATTGTGCATTCATTGGTTGATTCTTGTATGTGCCCTGATTGGAAATTGAACCTGCAACCTTAGTGTATTGGGACGATGCTCTAACCAACTGAGCTACCTGGCCAGGGCCTTAACTCAAAATTCGTGAGTCTTAATAATGTGAGCTGAATTATACCCAGGTATCAGTGAAAACCTGCATTTAAAAAAACGAACAAAACCCTGGTGACAATACACATTTAGGTACGATCATTAATTCAAGGATTCCTTTTATTTTAAACAACTTTATATAACAATTCTTGGAAGTAGTATTCAAAATCACCATAAAAGATAAAAGAACTAATGCATATCTGCATTCTTAAAAATAGTTACTCTGAGGTTAATTTGACAAAACTGTCACTTTCCTAAATGAGTGCAGTACAACCAATGGAGGAACCATTTTTTCATAGCCTGAGTTGTCCATTAACAGCCTTGCTTCCCAGAAACTATGCAGTGACTTCTGATGCCCAGTAATGTGAGACTTCAGTTAATGATCAGTGGACATTTGAAATAGAATTTCCTTAGTGTCTCACAATTGTAGGTAACAGGTTGTAGGCCCAACCAAGTTAAGATGTAATCAATAAAAATGTGTTTCATTGGAGTCTTGAGATACTTACCAAATATTAAAATAATATCTGGTGGCGCAGGATCTTGAGTCAAACCTGTCATTAAATGCACAATAAACGGTTTGGTCTGGTTCATTGTTAAGGTTAATGTCGGGGTTCTTGACTCCCCTCCAGTACACCAGGCCAGTATGAATCCTGATAAACCCCTTCCATAAGGGAATGTTCCTAGTAGTGTGTTTTGTTTCTGAAACTAAAGAGACTCACTTGAGCACTTTGGGTCTGTTTTCATTGGTAGACACAAAAGATTTACTCTTAAGTTTGACTAGTAAAACAAGCCAGGAAAACATTTTTCCAGAATGTACCTGGACAGGCATCAGAATGTTTGGTAAATTTCAGTAAAATGAAGACTTTAAAATTAAGTTTTAATGTTTCTCCATTTTTTAAGGCCTGACCACATTTTACAGTAGAGCTGAGTGTTAACATCCTAATTATAGTAGAAATTTTAGAAAATACCATTGTAGAGAAAAGGGGAATGTATTTTCTACTTGTGGTAAAACTACTACATACAGGATTCTGTTAGTCACTGTTCCCAAATGGGAAAGGGGTTTTTTATCACTGCATTTATTCAAGTATCTTAGTTTTAGGAAGAAGGAGGAATCTGAATTAATTTTAGAAGAGGTTGGAAAGTTACTGTAACTACAGAACGGTGTTGGTCTTGTGTCCTTAAGAACTATTTTATAGGGTTCTTATTCAAAACTACATTGCACAAGCAGGAATCAAAACTTCAGACGAGGGCTCAAGGGAACCCTTTCCTCAGGGCTTTATTTTTTACCATGGTAAATTTACTAATGAAGACTTGAGCAAAGTGCGGGTCGGCCACGTAATGGTATGTTTTCACGTTGGAGGGGAGAGGCTCCACAGGCACCACCGGGCAGGGCGCGGTCTGCGCAGAAGAGCAGCTGGGCGCCAGCTGGCAAGACGTGATGTAGTCCACCAGCCTGTTGTACTGCTGCTCTGACAGTCTCTCTCGGGCTCCATCCACCTGGGATGCAAAAGGAAAGGTTCTTTAGTTGCCAGACTCTCACCAGACCTCCGTAACAAAATCATCCCCTTTCCGAGGTTATCTAATAAAGCCATTTTACCCAAAACTTGTATTTTTCCTCTGACTGTGGCAATAACCCTGCAGTTTCAGCAGTCAACAAAAGCTCTGCATGCGAGTATAAGGACAGCTCCTTTTGATAAGCGCTGGGTATTACATAAAATTCCCATGTCTCAAGTTGACGGTAACGTTTTACTCAAACTATTAAAACCTGTCACCTTTCTTCACTAAGCAGCCCAGGAACAAGGATGGGTCCTTCCTCTGCTTAAATCTAAGCTGTCTGCCCGTCTCAAACTTCTTCAGATAGACCTTTTTAGTTCAACAGGGAAAGTGGGGAGGAGCACCTCTCAAACCAGCAGCTTTGGACAGCATTAAGAAAATACCTTCTGAACTGTAACATTTACTGTTTTTATAAATACTAGGATTTAAAGCCAGAAAAAATAAAATGGCACAGGAAGGGGAAGTTTTTATGGGAAGGAGGGTGCAAAGTACATTTATGATTCATAAAAGTCTTGTGGTTCTTCTGTGGAACTTGAGTAGAGCCGAGATACGCTACCTAAGTTCTTAGTGGGGTTTCCTGAGAAAGATCCGTCAAAGGCACTTGGAGCTGTCAGTTCTTCCCACCCTGAAACCAGCTGGTGTGTACGTAGTGCAGTGGTGAGTTCCCCGTGCCTGCGGGTCTGGGAATCAGCCACTGACCTTTCAGTGTGGTCTTGACCCGCTAAATGTTGGTGACATCACTGGTAGCATTAAAAACATTTTAATGAGGGCTCTTTAGTTCCCAAAGTAATAATGTAAAGAATTTGTGTATTTCTGTGTAGGGCACGAATGCAGCCCAGGGTGTCTTACACAGAAAGCCAGTGGGATGGGGGAGTGGGGCCTGGCAGAATAGTAAGGGTGTCTGTTAGCGACTGGCTCTCATTTTACGCTTGGGAAGGAAAAGAAAGGCCCCCAAGTTTCACTGACACATGGAAGCTGTGCACCACCAGCAACAGCAGAGCTCTGATATCATTCGATGGGTCAGAATTCAGCTGGAAGGCTTTGAATACACAAAGGTCTTAATTGCTCCTCGCGAGCAGCAGCTCAGGAAACCATGCTGTGAAAGGCACCTGGCCAAGGAATAAACTGACCTGATTCATTCTGAGCCTCATGAGGGATTTCAATAACGTGCAGGCATATTAAGTAATTATTACCCTAAAAATGGCTGCGTTTAACCAAGAAAAGCAAACGCTGATGTTAGAAAAATCTGAATCCTGCCATATTTGAATATACTGAATGATATCATCTACAAATTCCTTTTAAATTCAAAGGAGCTGAGCTTCCTAGTATCTAAAGGAAAGACCAGAAAAGCCATTTTATATAAAGATCTTAAAATACTGTTCTTAGTTTTCCCTGGAAGACAGCGTGTAGGCTCCTTCACCCAGCTTTACGTCTGGATTAGGTCACTGCGCTGATGAACACGCCAAGGAAAATGCACGCCCAGCAGCACCGCGTGCCCCCGCTTAGAAAATACGTCGGATCAAGCTCTCCCAAGGCAGGGTTTGGTTTTGTTCTGCAGCTGGATGTCCTCTGGGGTGAGGGTTTGGACAGAGGACTAAGGTCAGTTTCTTACGGGGAGTTGAGGGGAGCGGTGAAGTGGAACAGATGAGAATCTGGAGGCTGGAGGCACACTGGGGCCCCCTTTCTGTCCAGTGCCAGGCGCTGCTGTGCGAGCTCGGCTGTCTCCGCTGCCCTGCAGTTCCCGCGCTCTTCCTGCCTTTTAGCCGCCCCTTAACCCCGACCCTCAGCCATCCCTGCCCCGCACGGGAAACCAGTACAGAGCGTGGCCAGTCAGTGCTGCCGCCTCTCCCTCCGCGATCCCACGGTCTCCCTCAGCCTTGGCAGCTTCCAGGGGCGGCGATCAGGTACCTCCCTAACCACAGAGAGACAGGCTTTCCCTCCAGCCACGAGGATTCCCACCGAGCCCGCCACAGAGGAGCCGAGGAAGGATCACAACTGACTAAAGTAGAGGCAGTTTAACAGGAAAAGATGAATCTCGGTGTCGACAGTTTAGGACCTGAAGTATTTCCCAAGCAGTTAATGATGGTTACAAACGCTCCTCGGGGCCTTGGGAGTTTCCTGCTAAGGACCAAGGACTTGAAGATAACGATACTGTCCCCTGCCAAGTCCTGCAGCCACATCACTGGTGCTTTATTGTCAACGAGATCAGAAGATTCTGGCAGATGTACTAAAGGCAGCCTGGACATCTGACCTCTGTTTATTCCCAGAAAGTCGTCAACTTGAAGCAGCAACGTAGTCCTAGCGCCAGGCCCCAGCTAAAGCTCGACTGATTATGATCCGAGAAACCAGAGAAATCTCAGTTGTTGTGCTTGGCGGCCTTCCCTCTTCTCAGATAATTTTACCCAAACTGG